TTACTCCTGGGTGGGGAAAAGCAATGAGTGACAACGTGCTTTGCCTAAGGGCACAAGCATCATGACCCCAGGCTGGATTCTAACCGGCAACCCGCGGCTTTATCCATAGCCATGTACCTCAACCACAATAACCATCTCTGCCCTCACAGGGTACCCAATTATTCCTAGTGGGGAGAAGTAATGAATGACAAAATGCCTTGCCCAAGGGCACATGCACCATGTGTTATGTGCATGTACCTCTCAGGCTGGATTCGAACCCGAGGAGGCTTAGGGTATGCCATGGCCTTGAGTGTCAGAGCCCTTGCTTTAGCACTTCAGTGATAGACTGGCAAACCTACTCGTATGGGTCCTTTTCTATTGTTACATGTACATGTAGTTTCATTTTTGAGTGAAAGCTCAGAAGCTCCAATGTGATGTGATGCAAATAACGGAAAAGGAGTTTATATTTGCTGTCACCAAACGTCTCTGAAAGTCCCCCCCCCAAGCCCAAGCCCCCTCCCCCTCTCGCTCGGAATCCCCCATTGTTGACAGCCCGCTGGTATTCTGACGCAACCTGCATGATTGCTCTGGCCCGGCAGATCCGCAAGAGCCTTGGGGAGTTTGACAGGGTGGAGCGGGACGCCCACAACTACCGCATGATGTTCCTCATCTCGCTGATGGAGGAGAACAGGTCGTGGGGAGTGGAGGAGTTTGCCACAGCCACTGGCCAGCGGTTTGCCGTCAGTGCCGAGGCCAGAGGTGTCAAATTGATCGAACCCGCAAACCAGGTACCGTACATGTACACGTCTGTAATAATGGCATGTATTGTAGAGTCCAAAAGGCATCCAGTTATCCTATTCATTCCATGTACATTACAGGTCAGTCTGTAGACCAATCTGGCAAGAAATAATTAGAAGCCATTTCCGGGGGCCATCCCGTTTGCACGCAGGTGCTACTTGTGTGCTACATTCCTCTCCGACCAATACATACAGGTTGTTGTGACTTAACAAAGTGCGCAAGCGCGCGCTCAAATTGAGATGCGCGTGAGTGCGATGGCCCCACAGGAACGGCGTCTCCGCGGATTTGTCTGGAAATTAGGTGCGACACTTCGTTACACCAGGCGTGTGGGAAGTCTGAGGTTTTGTGGTTTATTGCAGATGAGAAAGATGGAAACACAATAGAATGGCGCTCTCCGAAGTGGGTAAATTTGGAGCAAAAGATTGTACCCAACCAAATAGGGCCCTCCTATAGTGCCCGCCATGCTTCCAGAAGGCTACTCTCATGGCAAGCGAAATTCCTCTTACAAGTGGGATGCTGCTGAACAATGCACTTGTAACAATCCTGTTGCTTATTGAGTACTTTTTTCTACAAAAAACACACTACTCTCTCACTAGCACACCACTTTTAAAATGAAATGCCTCGTTTTCCCTGTTTTAATTTGATGGCTCTACAAGTACATGTACACTGTATATTGTACATGCCTGTGTGGTTGCCGTGCTGGTAGATTTCTGAACATTTCAATTCAAGTTCCGCTCCCTTTTTCCAAAACCTCGTCAATTTCACGACATTGATCTGAACTCTCTGCACAGGCCAAGTTATTCAAGCTGGACTTCGAGGACATCGTCAAGATCAGCATGTTTGCCTCCCGTGAGGCCGGCTCCAACAACTGGGTAATCCACGTCAAGCAGCGCGAAGACGCGCCCAAGGTAAGGGGGAGCCCCTCGATCAATCCTGCCCCCCTGGCACTTTCCTGTCGTTTACCGGTAGCCCCACTAGCCATTCCCCCTTGATGAGCAGAAGCACCCCATCATCGGTTGAAAAGAGCCGCGTTGTAGGGGAGCATTTCTTTTGCTGGTGTAGCGATGCGTGCGTAAACTTCATAGTCGTTTGTGAACCAGCAAGGTGCGGCTCCCACCAAAGGAGCCTCTGTTGCTAGGAAAATTGCGCCCTCTTTTGGTCCAGCTCATCATGCGGTCTACAGGACCGTCATGTGCAATGAGTTGGGGAAATGGCACACATCCATGTACATGTATGTACCGGTACAGTACATGTACGTACATGTACATGTGTGCACAAGTTACATACCGGTATACATGTACATGTACATTGTAAATTTGATCACAAGAAAGTTTAAGGCACAATCTTGCTATTGCTATTTACAGAAGATACATGTACAACGACATGTTAATCTTTTTGAATTTCTTAGAAGATTTTAAACTATCCTGACAAAAAGATTGCCTGTTGGAGAGGTGCCTTCAGTAAGCGAATGATACATGTACCTTCAGTGCATGTATGGTAAGATCCCAGCATGCACTGCAGTAAACACTATGCATCATTGGTACTGTACCTGCTACATGTACATAGGCAGTTGACCGTTATGAAAGGAGTTTGTGTCAGAGCACGCGTGTCCCTCTTCCATGGTCCAAATTTGTTCCCAGGCCACCACTGCTTCAAAAGGACAATGTACATGTACATGTACATGTGTTTTGTAAAGTCAAAAACCTACGTATTTATGTACATGTAGGTAATTCCAGAAATAAGGGGTCCAAAAGTGTGACATTTTTGTGTCCTTGTTAATGTGACCTTTGTTATTTGACACGGAAATATCACTGGAATTGATTTCAAACTATTACTGTTTGTTTGGCAGGTAATTTGCATTAATTCATCACTCTTGGAAATGAGAAAATGTGTTTGGAATTTACAAAATCATATGTCAGATGTTTATGTAAACAGGGAAAGAAATACAAATGGACCCCAAATCTCTGGAGTTACGCACTGTACATGTATGTACATGCAGCTGCGGGGAACAAAAGTTCCAACATTTACATGTTACATGTAATCTAATATCTACAGTATACATCGTGTATGTTTTAACATACAGTACATGTGTGATACATGTCCCATAAGTACATGCACTGAAGTACTTAAATGGTACATGTTTTTCTGCAGTTTTTTATTTCAATGTCTTTGCATAGTTGACCTGTTTAGGATACAAGTTCATGTATGTGCAGATTTCTTTGAGTTTTAGTGCATGTGTTGGTTTTGTTTCTCTTCAGTCTGACATGAAAGAAAGTTGGATATGCGTACGTACACGTACATGTACACTGTACGTTAGACTCTACCCAGCGGGTGCAGGTCTGTGCTGTTATCCTTTGTTGTCCACCGTCAACAAAAACCACACTCAGTATACATGTACCGGTATATGTCTGTTTTGTCTTTGTAATTTTTTCATTGAAGTTCAAGAAACCTGCACTCATGGACCTGGGAAAAAGCCCAGCTTCCCAAACCCCAAAGCATCCAAGTCCTTGAATAAACCCCATGTTCTCATGCATTATTTAGAAATGGCACCAGGAAATGAATGGCCGCATATTGGTATGTGCACGTACATACATGTATATGTATATACATGTTGAGCAAAATTGGATCCCAAATTTATAACCTGTAGTTAATTGCGAATGTGAGCAAAACAAGAACTGATACCGGTATATCCAAGTATTATCGAAACGATCAAAGGACAGAGTCAAATTCTCAAAGGACAAAAAGAATTGAACTTAGTAAAAGCGAATGTATTTGTAATTTTTCTACATATAAATATAGCATTTTACAAAACAAAACGAAACTAAAAACAATAAAAATCTCCAAGCAATCCAAACAACATATACCGGTAGCAGTGTTATATTCAAGACCTTGATGCCCGAAACCGAGACCGACACCAAGGCGTATGAGACCAAGACCGAGACCTACTCCTTCAAGACCAAGACCAGGACTTTGAGACCGAGACTTTTGCAGGTTGAGACCGAGACTACGACATCCGAGACTGAGACCGAGACCAACCGTAAACCAATGTTTAGTTTTTACCAAAAGGTAAATAGAGACAAACATATGGCAGTACAATTAAGTACAAAAGAAATAAAATGAAAACATTAGCATAAACACACACACATAAATAGGTCAAATATTTGTTAAAGAATGTCTCAGATCTTTTAATAATAATATAATAATAACACATTTCTTATATAGCGCATCACATAGCACATCTCGATGCGCTTCACAGTAATATTATGAAATAAAGCAATTAAAGAAACAGGTAAGTTTTAAGTAGTGACTTAAATTCGTTTTCATTTTTGACCGTTTTGATATGGTGTGGGAGAGAGTTCCACAGCGATGGTGACGCATACTTGAATGAACGATATCCATAAGTCTTTTATCAGTGATACTGCTCTACTTTTACCATGGTCTGGTCATTTTCAACCCGAGTGTCCCAAATGATATGATGTGAACATTAAAACAAATATCCTTAGACTGTTTTTTTGTAAACAAAATACTGAAAAACAAATATCCAAAAAAGATGTATTGTAACGAAACTACTAAAACAACACATACCACATACACTGTACAAGACGGAATGAAAGCACTTTGACACGTGCACACAATTCATAGCATGCACACACACAGGCTGGTTCCCGTCCCAACCCTACGTTCAGCAGGAGACTACGTAGGGAACGGGAACCAGTCTAGTGTGCGAATTCTGCTTCTCACAACCTCATCTCCATGGTGTCAAGCAGCATGGCTACCCTAGATTGGAAATAAAGTAGCAACTTGGGACAAGGTTGCATCATGCTGCATTGACTAGTCTTCATTCCAGCATCGGTTTTATTGTTTATTGCAAAAAATCTGAACATTATGGTGCTGTATTATATCAGTGGTTGAAGATTTGACTCCAGTGGAGGTAATTTTGCCTATTGCAACTGCGTGCACGCATGGTACATGTAGCTACCAGTAGATGCGCATTCTGTTATGGTCTCGACTGGTCTCGAGGGGGAGACCTGAGACTATGGCGTCCGAGACTTTTGAGACCGAGACCGGCCCTCCCAAGATGGCGAGACCGAAACCGAGACCGCAAAAAAAGGTCTCAAGACGGTCTTGAGACCGAGACCAGGTCTGGAGACCTACATGTACCGTACAACGCTGACCGGTGTACCGGGTACATGGTACTGCCAGTACATGTATACATTATTTCAAAATAGGCATAATTTAGTGTCAAGTTTCTTGCCATAAGAACCTTCTTTAGGGAAGAATCCCCTACGTTAGAATTGAGATCTCGATTTAGTCGCTTAAATTTGCTCTACTGATATGTTGAAAAAGTGCTGTTCATTCTGGTAATTTGCGGTGCGTGCGTTTATATGGTGCCTCATGGGATATATCAGAACAAAAGGAAGTAACCCCCCCCCCGAACCTTCGTTGTGGTTGTGGGGTATTTAAATGGTACATGTACCTGACAAGAATTAGAGGAAATGAGTCTTTGAATTTGTTCAAAAAGGAGAAATTTTCAAGGTACCGATAGGGTACTGGTATCCTTTAATATCCTTCACAATTTTTTTTTTTTCGATGAGGGACATTTGGTTGAGCTACTGTACATGTACATGTATCAACGCAGGAAAGATGGGAAAGAACGATTTGGAAGCTGCACTTCACTCACTAATTTTTTAGGACGCAAACATTTCGTCCAGTTGTAATGGTGGATGGACCTGTGCTGGACCTGAGCCGAATCCTCATGTCTTTTTGGCCCCAAGTTGAAGTCCAAAGAGAGCCGAGTCCTTTCAAAAGGGGGACTCGAGTCCGGGTGCGATGTAAAACTCTCTTCTTTCACCGGTCAATCTGCCAATCCCAGGGGCGCGCCAGCTGCTGTATCGCTTTGCCTGTGCCACAGTTTTCCAACTGTCACTTCCCTGTTGATTTTGTAAATGGCGCGCACGTAACATCAATCACGGTTTCTCAGCGACACATGTTCCGGTTTGTAGATTGTTTTAATTTGCTGTATTAAGGCCACTTCCTGCTTTACCTTATCAAATGAAAGTGCACCTACCTGTAGCATGCCTAGGGAATACACTGTACATGTATGTTTCCAGTGATAAAAATGACTGGAAGAGATTCTGCATTATTTGTTTACGTGTAAATTGAAAGTAACTCGACACCTGGACTGGGGATGGATGATGGAAAATTTTTGTACCGGTTATCACGTTCACATTCATATTTCCTGGGGTACAAAACTTGTTTCCTACTTGTGTGAAAATCTATGGAGATCTGTTCCCGCTAGCGTTAAAATTATTACATGTTCAAAAATTCAGCACAACACACAGGTTTTAAAACCGTTCAGGTTATCATCTCTTGTGCAATGAAATAAAAGCAAACACGTCTAAATGGTTACGAATGCAGAATTTAATGTAAACAGATAATCCAATCAGTGGTGCAGAGCTACGTACATGTACATGTATCTGTATTGAATTTCACTTTTCATTTTATACATGTACATTCCTTGGCAAATTGCCAAGACCGTACACGTACATGTACATTGGGAGCTTGAGCAAATTAAAGCTCTCGTTTTGCATAATGCGAGTTTTGATATGAGTAAACTCCCCGAGGGCTTCCCTCAGGGGGCGTTCAGTGAGACAATCAATCAAGCCTGCAATTCCCAGCCGGATTATCTTGCTCGCCAGGGCAGTGTTTATCTCCACTTTCCATACCACTGAGTGACTGAACTACATGTACCGGTAAGACGCAGGTACCTGGTATGCCTCTGCGCCCCTGGATGGGATGCTAGTCGGTCGTAGGTTCCTCCCCTCCTTTCCGGTACCATTTACTTTATAGACAGGGCCTGCTGCCAGTCATGTTTTTCCTACAAGTGGCTGCTAAAACTATGGCTGGCCGTCAGTGCCAAAGTAAGAGAATAATTCACCGAGTTGTGAACAATTCCGGGCAGCTGTCAGTATACACCAGATAAAACATTGTACACGTACTGGCACTTGTACTGTACCGGTACCAGTTAATGAATTGGAGGTAAAGTAGGAAACCAACGAAAAGGTGATATTTCTGCAAACGGTGGCTGCCCGTACAAGTTGCAGCAAAATGAGAGTGGTCTTACGAAAGTGCCCGTATGTACTCCAGGGAGGGATGCCAGGGCTGAAGTGACTTGCTCAAGGCTATCGGTACAAGGTGCCTGTGGGTCAGTAGCTACAGTATACTGGATTCAAACCCCCGACCCTCTGTACAGGATTTGCAAACCCTAGTCGGGAGTCACTTACCCTTGTCAGTAGTCATAAACCCTAGTCAGTAGTCACAAACCCTAGTCAGTCATCACAACCCCTAGTTGGGAGTCACAAACCTTATTCCGTAGTCACAGACTTCTATAACAAGTTGGCCACCTGCACCCCTCTTGACCCAGATGAAATCAACTTCTTGTAGGGTATGCTTACAGGGCTTACATGTAAGTCCGCATGCGATGAGCACCTCAGTGGATAAAAGTATACATTTTTGGCCAACTTGTCTTGGAAAGATGCGCGCTGTGCAAGAACGGTAGATACATGTACATGTACTGGTGTGGCCAATTTTCACAAAGTTGGTCTCAAAATGACCGCAAAGAGTTACTCTAAAAACTCCTAAAGGCTCAACTCCTGAAAAAAAAATGCACTGCTGCAATATCGGAAAAAATGTTGAGGGGGGATGGATTCCGGCTCTTTTAGGGTTAAGATTTTATCAATCATCAATGTTTCTTTGAAAAGCCTCTGAATTTCAGTAGGAAAAAAAAAAGTCTGCTTCATGTCCAACATTTCTGCAGACACATGTACATGTACAGTGTATTTGTCATAACATGCTCGGTGCAGCAACAAGAGATGTCCACATTGCCTTCATACATACCGGTACATTGTGAGCCTCTGTCATGGGGCGGCCATTTTGCTTTTTAACCAAGCCAACCAATGTAACCAAATTGAGTCGGTTTCCTTTGTGTGAAGTTGAATTACCAGTACTGTTGCCTATGGGTCCATGGGGAACAAGACAGAAATGGCAGCATCATGATAGAATCAACAGTGATAGTTCTTTGGCGGGAACTCATGCATGCATGCTTGCACAGGTGTACAATTGTTTGCTGTGAGACGCAAAGTGTATGGAGTATGTGCAACCGATTTCTGTTTGAAATACAAATGTACATGTACATACATCAAAAAGGTTTGTTCATGTGTGAGTGCATTACATGATCTACATGTCCATGTCCATGTTTGCTTCTTTCCCAACAGGAATTTGTAGTAGAAAGCAAGCTCATGGCAGAGTCGCTGATTTCCCTCATTGACGGTTACTGCCGTCTGCTCATCGACCACTATCACTACCTTTTCCAGGAGTGTGCACCGCCCTCGCTTGTTCAGTTGATCAACAGCAGGTGTCATGGACCAATCCCGTAAGTCCCGGGCCATCCCCCCACTATCCGTGCCCCAAAATGAGACCATGCTTCCAGGGCAGGAGCTTTGTTCTTGAACGGGCAACACAATTTCTCCTTTGCACAATCAACCCCTACAGAGGGTTTGCATGGTGGCCATTTTGTAGGCCAGTGCTTTTGTTCCACAGGGCTTGCACAAAGGATGGTTTTCCTGTGAAACAAAATAACAGCCCTGCAAGATGGCTACCACGCAAGGCCTCTACATGTATAGTGCCTTGAATCCGCCTTGAGCAGAAGCAGTGCCTCATTTGTTAAAAGAGCCATGTTGGTCAGAGGAGTGTTCATTTTGCACGAGGTGGCGCGACCATACTTTGTGCATGTCGTAGTCAGGTGTGAACCAGTGAAGTGCAGTTCCGACTAAAAGGAGCCTCCATTTCTAAGAAAAAATTGCGCCCTCTCTTGGTCCTGCTCGAGGCTCACTACCTCAATGTACCGGTACATGTACATGTATACTGTTACTTTGTTCTGCAAATGCCAGGCATAAAAAGGTTTTATGCTGCATCGCAGTGACTTTTGTAGGCTTCAAATGAAGCAGGCAGCTGTTGACACAATTAGTCATGAATTCAGCGTGTGCTAAAAAGGGGGTGGGTGCGCAGAATTTATGAAAGGGCGGGGTTTGCGTTCTGTATAGAGGTGAGGTCAAATGTTCATGGACAGAGAATTCAGTTGAGGACGAAGAAAAAGAAGGCCAAATGGAAAACATGTCTCTCTGAATACATGTACCTGTGTAATGGGAGTTGGCATGCAGTGAATCTGATATTGGTGATGAACGCGCTCTTCACTGCCGTACGTACATTGCAATTTTATGTGTGATAGATTGCAGCCTTGTACCGGTATGTACATATACATGTATACTTGGTACATGTACAATGCACATGTTTGTTTTTTTTAGATTTACCTCAAGGTGTTTCATGCATCCACATTTGAGCATTCACTGGTAACTTTATAGATGCCATGGGTACAGTTGAACCTCATTTAATAAGAGGCTCCACTAACTTTGCTTGTTACTGTCTTGTTAAGGAATGGCGTTTAAAAGTTTCCTTGTACAAACAACATGCTGTGCTAACAGTGCCCTTACTAACGAGATTCGACTGTACCCGTGTTTATCAGGCGCTAAATGATAGCCCCAATTTTTTTTTTCCAGAATAACAGTTAAACAATTTTTTAACAAATTGCCTGTGTTGTCAGACTGTCCTTTGCCAAAAAGAAAATTGAGGCGGCAGGCAAAGAGGATGGCATCTACCTCATCCGACAGAACCCCGAGGACTTCTCCAGTTACTGCTTGACTGCAAGACTAGATGGCAAAATCAAGAATTACAAGATCAATGTCGATGAAGGTAGGAATGGTCAATTTTGGCTATTACGAAAAGAAGTGTTTTGTCGAATTTATTTGGTTTTTTAAATTTAATCATGGTTACTGGACATTTGTAAAGAAATGTGCATAAAAGTGGATAATTTTTGACAATTTTTTTTCATCTTCCAAAAAATTTGGAAGAGATTGCTAGGCCTGTGCTGGGTACCAGGGTACCCGCCAGTTGATATAAAAACCCGGTTTGCAGCTCTGTCGACTGTTCTGATGTTCCTCATGAAAATTTTGTTTTCCAATTTCCTGTTTTAATATACCTACAAAAGACAATTTGCAAACTAGAGGTAACAATTTCGTTTGATATAAAGGTATGAGAATTTAACCCAGACGTTTAGAACAATGTGCTGCTTGCTTCCTGTGTACGAAAAAGAGCCCTGTTTTGGGCACATGGTCCACCAGGGTCGTGCGCAGTGCCATTTGTTATTAAGTGATTTCTTTTCCAGGTACCCGATGTTGACAAAAAACGGGTACCCGGTTCCAAAAATATCCAGAAATGCTTACCCCTAGAGATCGCAGCCCCTGTTTTAAAAGTTATGACAAGCGGTCTTGAAACGTGCCCGGGACATTGGTGGATGCATCTGTGACCGAAATGAATTTGGTGTCAAATGACGCATTTTTCTGCATTGCCGAGGGGACGTCAGGTATGGAGCACGTTGACTCTTTTTCAAAATCTGCCAAGGACCTTGTTTTACCCAAATATTTTTTTGTACCCCCAAAAGTGCATAAATACATGTATTTTTGGTTTTTTGTTTTTTTGGGATTCCAGATGGCTGTGTTGGTTTGCCTGGTCAACGAACTTTCCCCGATGTCCGCGCATTAGCAGACTATTACCACTGCACAGTGAACTGTGCCTGTATAGAGGGGCCTCTCATCAAAGCCATACCGTACCAATCTAGAGGTAGGTGTCGAAGAGTTCTAAGCTTTTATGGGTACACCATGTGAAATCAGCCTCTTGTATGGAACACTGAAGTGGACACAACATGCTCATAATTATGGGTGTAAAGGCATTACCGAGAAAACCAGCGCGTGAACCAACATGGGCGCGTGTTCCATTCGTTGGCACTGCACTTCCTGGTTCAAAAACATGTCATTCGGTACTCTGTCCGTCTTGAGCAGAAGCACCCCCTCAGAAGAGCCACAATGCAGGCGTTTCCCGCTAGCACGCGTCCAAGAGTTTGCTATCACAAGTCGCAAAATCCGTCGACCCAGTGCGCGTTTGGAAAGGGTCGACAGATTCCGCACAGTGGATTGGCCATCGCATTGCAAACTCTTTTGAGGGACACTGTTGTGAATCACCTGCATTAGTTGGGGGTGTTCATTTTGTTGATACTGGTAGCTATGCGACAGCAATGCGTGCACTTTAGTGTCGTTCGTGAACCAGCAGAGTACAACTCCGACCAAAGGAGCCTCCGTTGCTAAAACAAATTGCCCTCTTGTGCTCCAGCTTGAGGCTAATACAAGTTGCAGTTGCGGGAGGAACTGTTAAGTCTGAACTCGGCATTTCGACCATGATGCTCTGGTTGTCCTAAGGAGAACTGCAGTGGAGCGCCGACTTTAAGATGGTACAGAATCAGCTACACAGAGAAGAACATGCTAGTGAGGGATTGGCTTGTGGATACACTCACGGTTTCTTCTCAAAACCACCGCTGTTGTAGAAGAGATTAATTTCACAAGGTGTACCCGCAAGCCGGCTCTTTTCAATCTAGCCTCCACCATCAAGAGTTTTGGTGTGTGTCAGGGCTTGGAGTTTCCATGTCTTCCTTCAATTGTGATTGACCCTTCTATGCCAAGATGCATTCTGGACAAAGTTGTCCTATCAGTCAAAATCAGTCAAATCACCTGCGTGTCTGTGTACCGTGACAAATTATGTACAAGGAACTGTTGACTGTCTGCCACTGTTACAGCGTAAGGAGGGTTAATCACTCCATTTGATTATGTGGTGCTTTTGTTGAAATGGTGTAACAACCCTTCGTGCCATCAATGTTATTACCGCGTGGAAGTCGGCGTGGGAGAGGAGTGTAGACCATCCACCAGCTGTGCTGTGTTGCTGTCTCCCGCAAGGATGGATCGTGTCCCTTACAGTTTTGGGCCTTGGCCCCTGCTTGGGTTCCTTGACGGTCCGAAAACACCCGGGGCGTGTCCAAAAAGTGTCATCTCATGAACAGTGCCCTTGACGTTGGTACATCATATGTGTTTTTTTATCAGATGAGTGTCTCCAGTTGCGCGACCTGTCAGCCCTGCCTGAGTTGCCACGGAAGCCACCCCCTGAGCCGCAGATAGAGTGGATCCAGCAGGACAATATCTCCAAACGCCGGCGGTGGAAGCGGCTGGGAGGTGGAGCCTTCACCTCGGTCTACCGTGGGGAGGTCCGCAAGCGAGACAGAGGGTGGATCCAGGTGGCCATTAAGTGCCCTAACAAGGATGCCTCGCAGCAGGTGCAGCAGGTAGGACCTTCTGACCTACAAATGTAGGCAAGACACGGGATATGTTAAGTCAGGAAACCAGACTAGTTGAACTAGCATCTCTTGTGGGCCTGCTACCTGACCTTATAA